TTGAAAGCTTTTCCTGGTTGAAAAAGAAAGCCTAGTCATCAAGGATATGCAGTGTGTTTCCAACTTGCTTGATAACATCATCTTCCCCACACTAACGCAGGTCATCCAGATCTCCCCCACAATCCCAGTCAACAGCTGTAGTTGTGAAAGGTCATTCAGTGTGTTGAGAAGGATCCACACTTGGCTGAGGTGCACAATGGGACAAGACAGGCTCCATCATCTTGCTATTTTATCAGTTGAAAAGGAAGAACTTTCTAAGCTGAGTCACAGTCAAGTGACTGACCGCTTTGCAAAAATGATAAATAGGAGGTAAACTTTAATGCTCATAAAATAAAAGAAAAACTTAGTTCAGGATGAGTTAAACTTTCCTCTGAACTAAAACTCTGAAACCTAGGAATTAATGATTACTTCAGAATGTGTATAAGGAAACTTTTTATTTTTAAAGTAAAAAGCAGTTTGCACAACTCTGTACTTTTCCAGTGAATTTAAGTCAATCTCATGGCCACAGGGCTGCCTTGGAGCAACAGTCTAAAATATGTTCTTCTGTTATTAAAGGATGAATATATGAACGCAAAGCAGGAAAATCCAGTTCACACAAAAAACATACTGAACATGTGAAGGGTGATTATGTTTAGAAGAGGTTGTTTTTTCCCAGTCAACTGAACTTTATTAAGTGTGTGTGTGTTTTACATGACTTCACACACTACAGTTCAGATGAAGTACATGGAGCTACATGTTACAAGAACTGTGATCAATATCAGTCCGCGGTATTGTGCAGTGTTTGCAGATTTCTTTCCTTTTAGCATGTTTGCTTAAAAGAACACAAATAGATATTTTGCTTTTCTTGATACTGATCGTATGAGTTACAATTTAGTATCCTAATGTTTTTATTCAACATGTTGCTAATAATGATTCCCAATACCCTTTTAGTTAATCTTTGTCCAAAATGTAATATTGTTTAACTGACTGGAGTGTCAAGGGCCAGTTATACTCCTGCAACAGTGCGTTGCTGTAAGCATGTCGGAGGTATGACATATTTTTTATTTATGGCCAATTTCGAAGCGTGGTCTGCGCTATGTTGTTCCATGCGACAACGCAAGAGGGGCAATAACGAACTAGCTGTGGGTCTAGATACGGCCGAGGCATTGAGGAAGTGGGTGTCAGGATTTGGTTGTGGTGTGATGACTCAAATGCAGAGGTAGGGAGCCAGAGGTGACTATCTTGATGATTTAATGAAGATAAAACAAAAAACTGAGGCAGGAATCCAAAACTCAAAACATGAAAACAAAGTCAAACAAACCAGAAACCATGGAGACATCAGGGGGGAAAACTATCAGGAGGAGGAAGACTCAGAGAGACGGAGTTGGAGTAAGTTAGACGAGGAACCAGCACTGAGGAACTGAACAGAGAGTGTATTTATTGAAGACTTAAACAAAGAGAGGACTAACGAGAAGATTGGGAGCAGGTGTGAACAGAGCAGAACAGGAAAGGGGCTTGGGAAAAAGGAGAACACAAGAGGGCAGCAGAGGGCAACAAATAAAAACCTGAAAACTGAAAATAACCAGAAAACACAACAAAATAAGAACTAAACCACTAAAACTAGAAAACATGGAACAAATTAAAACTGAAAACTCAAAAGAAAACATAACAGAACCAGAACTGTGACAGTGGGGGCAATTTTGTGCGACAACAGAGGGACATGAGGGCGAAAAAGAGCGGGGATCCAGGTGGAAAAAGGGTCCCAGTGTGAACACGAAGCTGGTCCATCTTTACGAGTCTTTTTCCTGAATCGCGGTCATACAAACAAAACAAAGTGGTAAGGTACCAAACAGGAAATACACAGTGTAGAGCAGATGTAGATTTGACCAATCAGATGCCTCCTGTCTGCGGCACTGTCTGCAGTCACCTACAATTTGGAAGGGGTGCAGCAAACACACACAGACAAGATGGTTTCTGAGTATAAATCAGCCATTAGTCACTGGGTGACAGTCGCTTGTTGGGCAACAGTGGCAATGAGTTTGCCCTGCAATTGAAGGGATGTTGGTTTGATCCCCAGCTGCAGCTTTTAGTGTCATTTGGGCAAGACACTTCACCTGCATTGTCTACTGATGGTGGTCAGAGGGCCCGGTGGCGCCAGTGTACAGCAGCCTCCTTTCCGTCAGTGAGCCCCAGGGCAGCTGTGGCTACAATATAGTTTGCCACCATCAGTGTGTGTGTGTGTGTGTGAATGGGTGAATGACTGAATGTGGTGTAAAGCGCTTTGGTCAAGTCTCCTGACTTGAAAAAGCGCTAAGAGAGTAGGCAGGCATTTACCATTTTATCATTTTAAGTAACATGATTTCATTATATTTATACAACAATATCTACTGTGTGATGGGATAGAGTCTTGTTTCTGCTGAGCTAAGAAAACAGGAACTACAGCTACCCCTGACCTCAGTGATATATTCACTAGATATATTCACTTCATTTTCTGTCAAAACTGAGACAAATCCTTGAGAGAATATTATTGGAACAATATGCCTGAAACCGTCTGCAGGTGGCTCACAGGTAAGATGTTCCTGTTGATAGCAAAGGGACTTCCCCAGGTTCCTGTCTGGTGTTTAGAAGCTCCACTTTTTCCAATAATTCTTTGGGTAACAAACATATACGCACAGGCCACATCTCTGAGTTTAACTGAGTTAATGTCAACAGTGTGCTTGTCTTGTATGCTTTCCTTGTCTGTGTACAGCATCTTATCACTAAGCAAATTCCTTGTATGTCTAAAACACAACTTGGCCATTTTACTTTCTGATTCCGAATCTTTATCATGAATATTTTAAAAGGTTTTGAAGAAAAAACTGAGGGAAATTTGTGTTTTTGCATGTTTATTATGTTTTTTTTTAATGTTTTTTGCAGGTAAAGCTTAGTTTGAATGTTAACAATTTTCCCCTTTGATGTTAAAACCTCTATTCAAGAATAACTACAGACACAAGCAGTTTGCGTATTAGTTGCATTTCACGAATGCAAACGGACAGATTAACGTCACTGCAGACTGGATGGATTATGGTAATGTGGAGAACAGGCCTGGCTCGTCGGAAAACTGCAGAATTAGGCAGATTATGGAAATATGATAGTCTGTATCTTGGAGTTGAAGTCTTTCCTTGGAATTAACTTTCCTTCTGTTTTCTCTTTGCTCCTTAGTTTTCCACTCAGCAACACCAACTCTTGACAGATGCAGTGAACCTCTATAAGATGAAATTCTTTTGCTCCTGCAATAAGCGATCAGACGATATATGTAGCAGACATTTGATGGGCATGGCAGGAAAATGCTCAAACTCTGTGGGAGGTTCTGCAAAAAGTAAATTGAAGTTATTGTTCTTGTAATGCTTTTTTAAGTCTACTACGGTCAGACATCTTGTTTCCATGATTCATTTTCACACAAAGGATGACAAGCCATTAATCAAGACGCATTCCTTCTCTTGTTGCGAAATGAAATTCTCAACCATAAAGATTAGCTGTAACTACAGGGTACTTTTGAGGACTTCCTCAGTTCTCAGGCAAACAGTTTTCAGTATCTCGGGTATCTTTTAATTACATGAAACTTACCTTCTGGGCAGATATTTGAGTTTAACAAAGGAACATTCTTGCCTAAAAATACCTTCACTCTTTATTTTGGGTCTTCTAAAGCAAAACATAGATTTTTTTACCTACATTTTTGCCACCATCATCCACCATGTCTGTCCGAGCTGACTGATCAGGTTTGACCCACTATGACTCAGAGAAAATGACTCACATGCCTGCTGGCATATTTGCTCCAGTGCAAAGTAAACTACTCTTTTCTGAGAATTAACAACGTTTTTCCTAAAAACCACTGCATGTAAAAGTATACTAGCTTTTTCCCATGGTGATTGATCTAACCTTTCCAAAAAAATACACCTGAACCAAATATCCAGGTCGTTTACATCTTTTTTTCACAATGTTAAATCCAATATCCTTTTCAGCCAAACCCTTAAAGAATGACAGATTGCTGTTAAATATATTTAATGGGGGCTGTAGATGTTTTACTCATGTGTAGGTAGATAAACCTGTAGAGGCTGGAATAATTGCAATATCACTTAAGAGTACAGAAAAGCTAAAATATAAGTGATATTATTTTTTATGCAAATGATGTTCAGTACTTTGGCAAACATCAATAGGAAAAGATAACTTGAATAAATGCAAAAATACATTATCCTATCCATACATGTGATAAAGAAATAACCTCCTAAACTCGATCGTGACTTAAAAGACCTCATAATGGGTTTTTGATCCATAT